GACAGATTTATTTCTTTCCAATTTATATGCCTTTTATTTCTTTATTTTATTTTATTTTATTTTTGTTAATCCTCTCCCAGTGATATTTTTCCATTGATTGTTAGAGAGAATGGAAGGAAAGGAGAGAGACAGAGAAACATCAATGTGAGAGAGACACATTGATTGATTGCCTCCGCACGTGGATCAAGCCTGCAACCAAAGTACAGGCCCTGGACCAGAATCGAACCTGCGACCCTTCCTGCAGTCTACGAGCCAATGCTCTATCCACTGAGCCAAACTGGCTGGGGCTTTTATTTCTTTTTCTTGCCTAACTGCGTTGACTAGGACTTCCAATGCTATGTTGAATAAAAGTGGTGAGAATGGGCATCCCTGTCTTGTTCCTGATCATAGAAAAAAAGTTTTCATCTTTTTACCAATGATATTATATTTGCTGTGGGTTTGACATAAATGGCTTTTATTTTGTCTAGGTATTTTTTTTCTATGCCCACTTTGTTGAGAGTTTAAATCTTACAGAGATGTTGAATTTTGTCAGAAGTTTTTTCTTCATCTATCGAGATGATATAATTTTTATCCTTCATTTTGTTAATGTGGTTTATCACAATGATTAATTTGTGGATGCTGGACCACCTGCACCCCTGGAATAAATCCCACCTGATCACGATGCATGATCTTTTTACTGTATTATTGAATTAGATTTGCTAATATTTTGCTGAGGATTTCTGCATCTATGTTCATCAATATGTTGGCCTGTAATTTTATTTTTTTGTAGTATATTTGTCTGGTTTTGGTACCAGGGTAATGCTGGCCTCGTAAAATGAGTTTAGAAGCATTCTCTCCTCTTCAATTTTTTGGAAGAGGTTGAGAAGAATAGCTACTAAAATCTTCTTTGAATGTTTGATAGAATTCATCAGTGAAACCGCCTGGTCCTGGACTGTTGTTTTTTGGGAGATTTTTTATTACTGATTCAATCTCCTCACTAGTAATCAGTATATTCAGATTTTCTGTTTCTTAATAATTCAGTCTTGAAAGATTATGTTTCTAGGAATACACCCATTTTCTTCTAGGTTGTCTAATTTGTTGGCATACATGGAATATCTTTTCCCATCCTCTTACTTTCAATCTCTGTGTCTTTGTATCTAAAGTGAATTTCTTATAGCCCTGACTGGTATTGATCAGTGGTTAGAGTATCGGTCCAGATTCGATTCCCAGTCAAGGACACATACCTAGGTTACAGGTTTGATTTTCAGGCTTGATCGGGGTACTTGCGGGAGGCAACCAGTCAATGTGTCTCTCTTACGTCAATGTTTCTCTCCCCCCGCCCCACGCCCTCCTTTCCCCCCACTCTCTCTAAAAAGCAATGGAAAAAAATATCCTCAGGTGAGGATTAACAAAAAAATAATAATAATCCTATCTAATAAAAGAGAAACATGGTAATTGGCGTAGGACTGCTACCCTTCCCATTGGCTAATCAGGGCAATATGCAAATTAACTGCCAGCCAAGATGGCGGCTAATTTGCATACATAGGCACAGTGCTGGGAGGCAAATGGGGAAGGACGGAAGAAGTTGCCTGCTGCTGATGGTGAATGGAAACCCAGGCGGCAGGCAAGATCCAGCCGGCCCCCCAGGCATGATCGGAGAAGTGGGGGCCTTTACCCGTCCCAGGCGTGATCTGAGAAGCAGGGGCCTTTCCCGGCCCCCATGCCATGATCGGAGAAGCAGGGCCTTTGCCCGGGCCCACAGGCATGATCGTAGAAGAGGGGGGCTTTGCCCGGCCCCCCAGCTGTGATCAGAGAAGCTGGGGGCTTTGCTCGGCCTCCCAGGCATGATCAGGGAAGCAGGGGCCTTTGCCCGATTGGAGAACCCGGGGGCATTGCCCAGCCCCCCAGGCCTAATCGGAGAAGCGGGAGCCTTTCCCCAGCCCCCAGGCGTGATCGGGAACAGGGAACTTTGCCTGGCCCCCCAGGCATGATCGGAGAAGCTGGGCCTTTGCCCGGCCCCTCAGGTGTGATTGGAGAACCAGGGGGCTTTGCCCGCCCCCCAGGCAATCAGAGAAGCGGGGGACCTTTGCCCCACCCCCAGGCGTGATAGGGAAACCAAGGAGCTTTGCCGGGCTCCCCAGGTGTGATGTGAGAAGCGGGGCCTTTGCCCGGCCCCACAGGCATGATTCGGAGAAGTGGGGGCCTTTGCCGGGCCCCACAGGCATGATCGTAGAAGCAGGGGAATTTGCCCCACACCCCAGGCATGATCGGAGAACCGGGGGCTTTTCCCGGCCCCCCAGGGGTGATAGGGAAACCAGGGAGCTTTGCCCGGCTCCCCAGGTGTGATGTGAGAAGCGGGGGCCTTTGCCCGGCCCCCCAGGTGTGATAGGAGAACTCGGGGCCTTTGCCCCGCCCCCCAGCGGTGATCGGACAAGCCGGTGAGGCAGGGAAGAGGCGGCACTGACACCTAAGTAGATCGCAAGCACCTTTCAAACTGCAAACCCCATGAGACCGGGTTCTGGCCGCCACGTAGATCTCGAACACCTTTCAAACTACATGGGTAAAACCCATGAGACTGGGTCCTGGCCTCTATGCGTGCTGCCACATAGATCTTGGGGGTCCAGCAGCCACCTCTTCCCTGCCTCCCCCATCCTTTCCCCTGCCGGTGATCAGAGAAGTACCTAAATTTTTTTTCAAAGTACCTGTGTTTTTTAATAATTTCTTGACAATGTAAAAGAATTTTACATTATGATCCAAGGGTGGTGGGGTGAGAAGATGCAGCAGAAAAATCCAACAAACAAAAAGGGAAACAGAAATGCATGGTGGAAGGGATTTGAAGGGTGGGTAGGAGCATTGCCCAATTAAAATGCAATTGGTTTGTTACTGAGTACCATTCATGGGAAGACAGCATCCTGACTCCTTCTCTATACAGCATATTGGGAGTAAAAATGATGCATCCAGTTGGAAATATGACTAGGGGTTGGAAGACAGACTGGGAAAGAAGAAGTGAGAAATAGGGAAGCACAGAAGAAGAAGCTGCCAGAAGAAGAAGTTGCCTACCTTTGGTCCAGGCGCCAGCACCTGCGGCTGGCTGCAGCCCAGGAGACGGACAAGCCACCCGCCTGAGGTCCCAGGCTGCAGCCACTTGGAGAAGCTGCCAGCCCTGTGGTCCAGAGCACCAGTGCCTGTGGCCAGGGAAATAGGTTCCCTCTTCTCCTACTGTAGTCATCACTTCAATATCCCCCTTCTGAATTTCTCTCCTGTGCTGCAACCCAACTCCACTTTTCATCGGAAGGATACGGAACAGAGAGAGCAGTGTTAAAAGCTTACATTTTTAAGCCGGTAAGGTTGGTAAACATAAAATGGAAAACTATAGTCCTTAAGGTCACAAAGGCTACAAAGGACAGGGAAAGTGCATGACCTATTATATCCAGCAATCCATATGGGACTGAAAACTTTGCAATGATGACAATTACTGAAGAAATGAATCAACTAAAATATTTGACAGGGACAATTCTTCCATCTTTGAAAATATCTACATCAAATTTGTTTAAATAGATTTTCATCTGCATAATATAACACATTCTGACAAGACCACCACCACCACCAATGTGGTCAGTGTTGTGCCGATAAATGTTTAATAACTAAGGGACACCCCGCCCCCCCAGTGCACAAATTTTTGTGCACCGGGCTACTAGTAATAAAATAAATAAGTAAAGTGTGTCTCTTACAGACAATATATAAATGAATCATAGTGGGGTTTTTTTAATACAATCTGCTAATCTCTATCTTTTAATAGAATTTAATCCATTTACATTTAAAGGAATTGCTGATAAGGATTTACTTCTGTCATTTATGAGTATTTCTCTGTATGTTTTATGTTTTTATTCCTCATTTCCTCAATACTGCCTTTTAAAAAAAATTAATCTAAATCCTACCTGTAAGATTTATTGGAGGCTCCACCTTCCCAGTCAAGTGATCACTTCTCTCCCTCTATTTCAATAGTTCCTAATGAATATCTCCTTCATGAATATGTCCCAAAATATTTAAAAGGAAGTGCCTACCTTTCCTGGCCATAAAAATAGTCTCAGGTTCTATCCCTGTTTTCACCCTCTGAATCACTTGCACCTTAAACACACACCCACCATACACAATTCACCATTCATACATAAAGTTCATTATTATTGTCCATTCTCTGCCTACATGTGGCTTGGCTTAGGCTGGATCCTAGAATACTTAGGAAGGGTCTCTTGATTACTGGCAGATAAAGAAGAGAGAGTCAAAATGGCTTACATTGTAGGAGCGAGGATGCCTCTGCTTCCACTGCACCAGGAGCAGCTGGGCCACCACCAAGGTAGCGATGAGGATGAGGACCATTTCGGCATGCATGGCTTCGTGACCACGGTGTTTGGCATGCATGCGTGCATGCTCGACCCTGAAAGTCAAACAGATGGGTTTAGCCAGGTTAGGGCTGGTGTGGTGGTAAAGAGGTAGTGCTTCCCAGGGATATTCTACCTGTCCAAAGTTCAGAACACACTCCTGTATTTTGCAACGGTAGGGTACTATGCATATGTCCTAGAGCAGCGGTCCAGGAGCAACCACTGCTCCAAAGGTTGCCTTAAACCAGTGGTCACCAACCTTTCGAACCATGGATCACCAGTGGTCCACGGACCACTGGTTGGCGACCGCTGCCCCAGAGGACAGGCATTCTGATATAGAATAGGGGTTCTATGGGCCCCCATAACCAAGCTCAGTTATTGGATTAAATGTGGGTGGTCTGCTGCCTGCCTCCAATGGCAGATACAGCTAACACCTTTCCTGTTGCAAGAAAGAGATCCCAGAAGCCTGTGTCACTGCCCATTTCAGACCTATTTAATTCTGTCATTGAAAAGAAAACATAACCCAAAGAGAAGATTATAGCCACAAAGCCCCATAATCTTAGTTAGTGATATTTATGATACCAATAAAGAAGTAACACTGCAAATGTGTGATAATTCTAGGGTTAAAGTTTTGCTTTATTTGTCCTACCCTCTCTGTCAGGACCAAGGATCCTAAAAACTAGTTACAGCCTGAAAAATCTAAACTGCTTTGACTTTATATTAATTCAAGAGTTACTTCACCATCAACATCCACAGGGAAATAGCCTCAAGGACTTAAACTCTTATTTAATCTAAGGCTGGCATTCTCTTGTCCTGAGGATTGGCAGCAAACTATTTCCTTGGTCAATACAGGTAAAAAGCTTTCTCTAAGAACAGAGAAGAATAGTTACTCCTATTACTCTGGGTCAGAGTCAGCCAAGGGAAAAGAATAAGGAAAACTTAGTCAGAAAACCAAATACAAATATAGCCTTGTGGTCTGTAGCTTTTGTACAAGTTTTCCATGTATAGGGGTATTAGGGAGGGAAGGAAAGGACAACATACATTGTATCTTCATGGAGTTCCCAAGGGCCAGAAGAACCCAGTGGGATGAATTATGGGTAAATAATAAAGCAAATATAGCAAAAAGTTAATTGTAGAATCTAGGTGGTGAGTGTAAGGGTGTTCACTGTGCATTTCTTTCATGTTTTCTGTACGTTTAATATTTTTCATTATATAATGTTAGGGGCTAAAACTCAGTGGGCAGCCAAATATCAGTCAGCCAGCCAGCCACAGCACCTAAGGGTACACGCTACATAAAACACTATCCAGGGTGAGAGAATCTGACAAAAAGATAATAAGGTTAGGAGTAAGAAACTTTAACCAGTTAACTGCCACAATATTTTCAATTTAACTTAAAAAGGTCTGCCACTTGTGTCTATAGACATTTATGACATACAAATGATTAAGGTTGTAGCCTTGACCAAGAAAGTTAACAACTCTACATCACAATTTCTTCATCTGTCAAAAGGAGTCCATATCTTTTCCACCTCCCTCATAGGCTTATTGTGAGAATAAGCTAAACTAAAAGGACAAGTAACACTTTAAAAGCCTTAGAACTGTGGGGAATTATAGATAAGAAATACATTTCTTGTTCTCAGACAGTATATAACTGAATGGATGTGCACAACAATGAAAGAATCTAGAAAAGACCAAAGAAGACACCTATTGCAAGTTACCACTCAATGGAAAAATTATTTTTGATATCCTTTGTATGAAATACTTCCACTGGCTTAAGAACATATGCCTTGTCCTGACTGGTTTGGCTCAGCGGATAGAGCATCAGCCTGCGGACTGAAGGGTCCAGGTTTGATTCCAGTCAAGGGCACATGCCCTGGTTGTGGGCTTGATCCCCAGTTGGGGGAGTACAGGAGGCAGCCAATCAATGATTCTCTCTCATCATTGATGTTTCCATCTCTCCCTCTCCCTTCCTTTGTGAAATAAAAATATATTTTTTTAAAAAAAGAACATGTGCCTCTTAAAGTTATCTATTCTAGAACCAGCAGTGTCTGACACATTGTAGGTACTCATATGTGCTTATGAAGGACTAACACTCCAATGCTTTAAGAGGTAGGAGGGCCCAAGCTAGTTTGGCTTAGTGGACAGAGTGTCGGCCTGTGGACTGAATGGTCCCGGGTTCAATTCCGGTCAAGGGCACATGCCCGGGTTGCGGACTCGAACCCCAGTAGGGGGCATGCAGGAAGCAGCCATCAGTGAATCTCTCTCATCATTGATGTTTCTCTTCCTATCCTTTCCTCTCTGAAATCAATAAAAGATATATATATGGGGGGGGGGGGTCTCTACCTCTTAATATACCATAATTATTAAAGATATTTCTTTAATAATTAGACAATGATACAAAATCTATCTATAGCTCCAGGACCTAAACCTATACTCTGGAACAATAAAGGACATATCCACTCCTCTTTTCCAATGCTGCCCCTTCAAAGACTGCTCATGATCTTATTTTTTAAAAACAAAACCAAAAACTATCTTGTTCCTATCACCATTTTATTGGCCTTTTTAGTTCTAGGTATTTATTTCTCTTATTTATTTTTAGTTCTAGATCTTGTAAATACTATTCATATAACATAATGTGAAGACCATTAATCATGATTGCCTTCTGCGAGACATTATCTAGCCAAAGGTCTTCTTATACTGTAATGTCTACAACATCCAGTGTGGCCTCAGTGTAGCAGAGCACAATGGCACTGTCCCTACCTTAAGGCTGATATAGTATTTCTATGAACATCTTCCGAATCATGTGAATTATTTCAGTAGCTGAGGTACACAACTAGTGTATATTAAGTTTAAAGTCATCTAAAATCTTGTTGGGTGTGTCATATGCATTAATATCTTTGCCATTCTATATTTTACAATCAATAGTTTTAATCTAAAAGGTTTTTTTCTCATTATTAGGTTTTATTTGGTTGACTTCTCACTGGTCAGGCATCTTGTAAAGTTTGTGGGACAATCACTCTGAAACTCCTTTACTAATTAGAAATCATGACAATAAGATATTTGTTGGCCCACTGTGGTTACACAGCAAGTTACCAGCAAGTTGAGATCTCCCATTTTCTCAATCAGATCCTTCTACCCTATTTCATGTATAATGATGATAATGTTAATGATGATAATCATCTTCAAAGTAGGTAACACTGGAGCTTACCACATGCCAGGCACTGTTCTAAGAATTTCACATATATTTATCCTCACAACTCTATGAGGTACAGGTACTATTTTGATCCACACTTGACAAATGAAAAAAAAAACTAAGGCAAGTTAAGTAACCTGCGCAAAATCACATTAGCTAGGAAATGGTACAACTAGTATTAAAACCTAGGTGGATAGTTTGATACAATTATGCATTTGCTTCCCAGGACCAAGGGAGCTACCCAGAAGTGACCCATGTACTGGAAAAAAATCCCAAAGACCTAGCCTACTGGTCATGAGTCACTGTCTCCCACAGACAAGGAAGCAAAAAGAATAGAACTCTATCAGTTGGATTACCCCATAGTCCCCAGCCTGTGGGGCCCACACTATCACACTTACCTCCATTGCTCCTCTGGGGAGAGGTGTGACATATCAACCTGTAGAAAGACACCACCAAAAAAATCCATTACTGTCTTAGGCTGTCCCTGCCCAAAATAAGGTGCTTACACATTCATCAATATCCACCAAGGAATTACAGGAAGCTTTAAGTGTCAAAATTTCTATGAAGCCTTCCCTAGTACTCTACTCCCCACTGATCTCTCCCTTCTAGAACTAACCAGTAACTCTGGCTCATGTCTATGACTGCCATTGTTTTGTATGTCTGTGCTAGGCAATAAGGACAAAAGAATGAACCTAATTCCCAAGATTCTCACAACCTATGAGATAAAAACATAATATTTCTTTATTAGATATCAAAGACTTGCTATGGAAGAAAAAAAAAGCGGGGGGGTGGGGGGACTTCTCATCCGAACTTAGGCATGACAGATTAGTGAAAACTTCCTGGAGGTGAGATGTGAAATACTACCTCAATGAGGAAATTAGAGAAATATGTTCCAGGAAAAGGACTAACATAACCATGAAGTTACAAAGCATACAAACAATTGAGAATGGGGTGGGTCCCTCCGCCTGGCTGGCGATTGGAGCTGATCAGGGCCATCTCTCCCAATCCTGATCGGGCCGGTGGCCTGGGAGGGACCTCAGAAGGGCTCCAGGGCATGTCTGGCCCTGTCTCACCCGGTCCCAATCAGCAGGACCCCAGCAGCAAGCTAACCTACCAGTCAGAGCATCTTCCCCCTAGTGGTCAGTGCATGTCATAGCGACCGGTCAGTTGACCGCTCGGACACTTAGCATATTAGGCTTTTATATAGAGAGATTGTAACTCACAGCGAGGAATGCTCGGGGCACACTTTCCCTCCAGCCCCTGGTTCTGGAGCCCTCATGTCCTTCCAAGACTCTGCTCACCCTCTTCAGCTGCCACAAGAAGTAAATTGCATCGTGTGCATGGAAACCCTTTGCAGGCTCCATGGGTGTGTCTTTACTTTGCTGCAGTTCTGATTACCCCAACATGAGGAGAGACATCCCCATTATCAGGTAACACCATCGTGGTAAGGCCCCTGCTCAGCCTACTGCAGAGGTTTTAAATAGGCCATGGGTCGCCCTAGATGGTTTGGCTCAGTGGATAGAGCCACAGCCTGCGGACTGAAGGGTCGATTTCAGTCAAGGGCACATTCCTGAGTTGTGGGCTCAATCCCCAGTAGGGGAGTGTGCGGGAGATAGATCGATTCTCTCTCATCATTGATGTTTATATCTCTCTCTCCCTCTGCCTTCCTCTCTGAAATCAATAAAAATATATTAACAAAAATAAAAATAGGCCATGAATCAAACATCGCTGCTCTCCATCCATCCAGTCCCCTCACACCTTTCTTTTGTCTTCACCCCCCCCCTACACACACACACACACTCTGCTGGGGTCTGTAAAATGGGGTCAGAATTTCTACTTCAACTAAGGGTGATGCTTCCACACAGCCCTCCTTCCCCAGCGCATCTCTGTCCCCAGTCCTGTGGGGTCTCTCCCTCCCTCCCCTCTTCATCTAATTTGGTAGGCCCTGCTCTGCCCCCTCCTCCTGCAACCTCCCCCTTTCTTCTAAGGGGGCGGAGCTCCCCAAAGGCAGGGCGGGGCTGTGTGGGGCAGGGTGGGGCTGTGCAGCTGGGGGGGGGCGCGGGGAGCCCAGGTGGGGCCTTGGAGGAGAGCTGGGGTGACCGGTCACAGGGAGTAGAAGGGAGAGAGTGGAGCCTGTCCTGTGGGAGAGGTACGAGGCTCCTCGACTGCCTCCACCCAGCAGCTTTTCAAGGCCCCTAAGCAGCTGTCACCCTCTGCCACTCACTGCCTCCCACTTCCTTTCAAGGTTTAGACTCAGTTTCTCCGACTCAGCCCTGCCCCCCTCTGCTGTGTCCACAGGAGCCCCAGGCCACCCCTTGGCCTCTGGCAGGTGCGCCTGGACCGTCCCCCCGACCCCCCATAATGGTGCTACCCACTCTCCTGGAGTAGTTAATGAAACTTAAATAAAATGAAGCAGCTCTGAAGATTGTAAGTTGTGCACTGAGAACGCCACAGGCTGCAGAGAGCTGCATAGTCCAGGCTCTCGGATCACGAATAGCAGCCTTCCCCAACACTTGGTGCCTCCTGGCTGCCCCCTCCACCCAGGGCTCCGGTCAAACCCTGGGAGCTTCCTGAGGGCTCTCACCTTACATCTCACTTTCTAGTCCAGCTCACCAGCAGCAAGCTAACCTACGGGCTGGAGCATCTGCCCCCTGGTGGTCAGTACGCACCATAGCAACTGGTCAAGTAGTCAAACTCCCAGCCAAACTTCAGTCTAGGGCAGGGGTGGGCAAACATTTTGACTCGAGGGCCACAATGGGTTCTTAAACTGGACCGGAGGGCAGGAACAAAAGCATGGATGGAGTGTTTGTGTGAACTAATATAAATTCAAAGTAAACATCATTACATAAAAGGGTACGGTCTTTTTTTTTTTTATTTTTTTT